CGCCCTGCTCGGAGTCGGAACCCTGTCCAGGGTCCCCCACATCCTCCAGAGCCGACTCATAGGGCCCCTAGCTGTTGGAGTCTGGTGGCAGCTCCAACAGCTCCTGCTGGGCCACAATAGAAACTATAGAAGATAGATGGCCCCTCAAACATTTTCGGCCCTATGTCATGAAGTGTTTTATAAATGATAACCTATACCTTGAAATGCAGCCAGAAGCTTACTAGTAACTAGTGCAGTTTACAAAACAGATTCGTTCCATGGACAGATCGTGGCATGCCCATAACCGTCTGCACCGTTGTGTACTGGACCAGCTGCAGCTTCAGACGTGGTCTTCAAAGATGGCCATATCTGGAGTGCATTGCAGTAGTCCAAATTGAAGGCAAGCAAAACCTGAGTGATTGTCCTCCCAGTCTTAAGTATGAACACAATTGGCCACTAGATGAATTATTCAAGGAAGACCTTCAAAGAACACCCCCCTCCAAATGTGTGCCAATGCTGAAGGGAGAAATAAAACTTTTGGAATAAAAATTCCTGCATTTTCAGTTCCGGGTAGTCGAAATACCCCAGGACATTAGTCTTGTTGAAATTGAGATTGTTCCTCCCCATTCAGACCCACGCAACCTGCAGTCACTGAGATAAGATCTTGATAGCATCATTTGTTCAGCCTCTGGTTGAGATTTATCACTAAGCATCAGTGTACTGATGATACCAGACTCCAAAGGAATGGATGATCTCATCCAGCATCTCATATAGATAATAAAGAGAGGAACAAGAGCAGAAGGCCCTGAAGCACTGAAGCCTTGATTTCTTCCTCCTGCCAATACCGATTAGACAAAAGAAAGGAGAATGATGTTCTGGCCTAGGCTTCCCTAGCAGCAGAAAGCCAAGTCCTCGTCCCGATAAACCCCTTTTATTTAATTTACAGTGAATTCCTCTCCATCAAAGTCCTGGCCCACAGTCTTTCAAGATATTTCACAATTTCCAATCCTTATCAGGCTTGGAGAGTGGCCAGACTGATATTTTTCAGACACCACAATACTTGGCAAGAATGCAGGAATGAACTAATTGTCTCCGGCAAACACCCCTCTCCTTTCGCTCCTCTTTTATTCCCTATGGGAGGAGGGGCTATTCACTGTCCACCTGTGGCCTTACTCCCAACCCAAGTCAACCCTTGTTCCTTAGCTGTTCCCTTCATCTGCAACACTGGGAACAGACTCCTGCTGTTCCTTCGGCCTCAGTGATCCCCAACTGTGAAGGCAGCTGATAACTCTCAGACGGCCCTGGACTTCGAGGCAGAGCCCTCATCAGAGCCTTCCCCAAACTCCAGGACTGGCCCATGTTCCTCTCCAACCCCCTCACTTTCCAAATCTGCCAGCTCCCCTGGCTGCTGGCGGGCCACAACAAATAACACCACCAGGTTTCCCATGCCTAATTCCTCTTGGTGGTTCAAAAGAATATGTTCTATGGCAGTGGTTCCCAAACTTGGCAACTTTAAGACTTGTGGACTTCAACTCCCAGAATTTCTCCAGCCAGCTGGAGAATTCTGGGAGTTGAAGTCCACAAGTCTTAAAGTTGCCAAGTTTGGGAACCACTGCCATAGAACATATTCTTTTGAACCACCAAGAGGAATTAGGCATGGGAAACCTGGTGGTGTTATTTGTTGTGGCCCGCCAGCAGCCAGGGGAGCTGGCAGATTTGGGAAGGGAGGGGGGTGGGGGGGAACATGGGG